CGAGGTCCGAAGGGGAGGACACGGTAATCCTCAAGTCCGGCAACTTGTTCTATCACCGGGTGTGCGACCATCTGTCCCAAGGAGGTGTCGAATTTATCGTCCACACGTCTCCCGTCAAGAACGTTGTAAATATTGAGAGTGTGTCGACGAGGGTCGCGTACCTGATACTCAGAATCACCAAACGGTATTCGCTGAAGGTCATACGGGTTTACGCACCAACCACGGCACATCCCTATGAGTAGGTGGAGGAAATGTATGAGGATATCTGTAGAGCCATTAGCGGTTAGCCGCCGTAGAATCTACATCACCTGAGGATGCCTCGTGTAGAGGCGAAACACGTGTCGTATTATCGTCGATAGTGTGTCATACCTGAAATAGTGGTGTTGTAGGTAGTGGTGCCAGAAGTAGCGGTGTTGGGAGTAGTGGTGCTGGGACTAGTGGTTACGGAGTTAGTGCACGCAATTGAGGGAGGGCGGGAGGTGCTCTCCAATCCGGGTAAGACACATCATTGTATTTAGTTAGCGGAAGGTTGCAAAATAATTAATATTTTATTACCATGCATTCCTCCAAAACCCACAATACGGTGTTGATAGGAGACTTAAACGCATAAGTAGGCACAAGAAAAAGCGGTGAGCTGAAGTTAGGGAAATTTGGAATAGGGCAACGGAGCCCAAGGGGCCGGCTGCTGGCCGACTTCATGGAGAAAGATAGACTCTTTATGATGAACTTTTTCTGCCAGAAGCGGCCCCACAGGAAGTGGACCTGGTCGAGCCCCGACGGTTCGTAAAAAAAAATTAGACTGACTTCATTATGACGACCAGACGCCAACTGTTCAGTGGTGTCTCAGTGATCTCGAGGGTGAAAACTGGCAGCGATCATCGAATGGTAAAGGCACACTGAACCTAAACATTAAGTTGAAGAGGTCTCGTCCCCCTCGTGCTCTAAGCCAGAATCCCGAAACCTTCGCTTACAAAACTGCTTTCAGTGCCTAGATACCATACAGGAAAAATGAAAGCTTGTGGAAAATGTCCATGCGGTCAGAGCTAAGTTCTACAAGATCCGCCCCAGAAGAACACAAAAACTCTCCGACCACACTCTTAATCTCATGGATATTAGACGGGGGATGAAGCTACAGTCGTCAGCAGATTTGACAGCGAACAGGCAACTGAACAGACAGATCTCCAAATGCATGCGGCAGGACTTACGCAACTTCAATACAGCTCGTATTGAAGAAGCGATTGAGCGGAACCGGGGCTCCAAAGTCTTTGCTAGAGATCTGTCTATCAGAAAGAGCCAACTGTCAAAGCTGAAGACTGAGTGTGGCGGTATCGTTTCTGGGACACCTGAGATTTTGAGTGAGATTGAGAGGTTCTATGGGCAGCTGTACACATCATCGTTGGAGCCACACGCAAGTGTTAGTAAAGATCTAAGAGTAAGTCTTATCTGACACTATTCCGATGATATTCCGGACGTCAGTCTGAGCGAAATTAGAATGGCTCTCCCGCACCTTAAAAACGGCAAGTCCATGGGCGAGGATGGAATTACAGCGGAGCTTCTGAAAGCGGGTGGAAAATCAATACTTGAAGTCCTTCAGAAGCTCTTCAATTCTGTCCTCCATGGTGGCACTACCCCGGAGCCGTGGAGCAGAAGTGCGGTAGTCTTGTTCTTTAAGAAAGGCGACAACGCTCTCTTGAAGAACTACTGACCGATTTCCCTTCTGACGTTTACCTGGGACAAATAGTCTGAGTAGGTCTATCGACAGATTCAACTCCGCTGGGCAGCGTTCGGGAAATTACGATACATCGTCTCGGCAGGTATACCTCAAACTCTGAAAACTAGATTGTACAACCAGTGCGTGTTGCTAGTGACGACTTACGGATCTGAGACATGGTCCTTCACTGCTTGCCGTATGAGGACGCTCAAGCTCGCTCAGCGAGCTATGGAGAGGGCTATGCTCGGAGTTTCTCTGCGTGATAGACTCAGAAATGAGGTTATCCGCAGTAAAACCAGAGTGACCAACATAGCCCAACGGATTAGTAAGCTGAAGTGGCAATGGACCGGCCATATAGCTCAAAGAACCGACAACCGTTGGGAAAAAAAGCTTCTCGAGTGGCAGCCTCGTACCGGTAGGCAAAGTGTAGGGTGACTCCACTAGATGGAGTAACAACCTGATAAGACATGCGAGAAGTCGATGGATGCAAGTGAATATTGCAGAAATTTATAAATTGCTTATTGTTCAATTTGATTTAATGCAATACGTTATATAGTTATTGTTTAAGTTTCTCGTTATTAAAAATTAATCAATAATATGTTAATGTATGAATATATTTTAGGTTAAACTGTGCTTGGGGTGGAAAGGCATAACAATAATCAAAAAGTAAATTCCGATTATCCACCCCGTCTAGTGTGGATAAACGAACACGCGTTTCCGAGTATATACCTTAGGGTGGATAAACGGAATACGGATAAACGGACAGTCCTTTTCCGACTCTACCGTTCACTTCTGCAACATATATTTGCCAAACACACTTTCGTCGTTTATTCTTTCTACATAACCAAACCACTGAAGCATTCCTTTCACGGGTCACAACATCTTGCAAACCACACCACACTTTATATATTTTACTGTACAGCACACAGAACTGTTTCTGTGCCGTTATGACATTTAATATGACGATATATATCATTTACAGAGTACTTTTAAGTATTAAAAGTAATTTAAGTTATATTTTGCGTAATCAATGCACATATACTTACTACACATTTACTTTTATACATATTTTTATTACACACTTTTTTCTTTTATTTAGGAGTTGCAATGAACGGTGCAAGTGGGTTATTTTCTTTTATTTTCATTCTTTTATTAGTTCTTCCAACTTTTTACCCCAACTACAGTTCAACACATACACTTTAATTATTAATTAAATTTTAATAACCACAAACCTTATCAAAAAGTTATTACGTATTGCTGTTACTGTTACCGTTACAGTGTAAATGTCCACGCATTACGTATTACTTTTAAATCAAATTAAGTTTCCTCCTATTAAATGATATTATTGCGTTGTTTATAAATTCTGCATAAATTCTGTCCAGGCAGTTACTAACACTAATTTCATTATTGAGTAGACGTAATTTGATATTCTTAATAAATCTGTCACTTTCAATGTAAATTTGCAAGCGTTCTTTTCTTTGCTACCACATATGTGTAAGCCAAAAACTGGGCATTTTTTGCAACCATTCCATGATATTCATATAAATTACGGATAATTTTATACTGTCGCGGTCACCTCGTTTTTTGGCTCTGGAAAATCGAAAAATCATCCGATTTCGACGAGTTTTTTTTTTAATCTTCGTTTTTACGGAAAAGACCAAAATGAAAAGAATTAACTATGTATTGTATTCAAAAATAAATCAATAGCTTATAATATTATCCTCAAAAAAAATCTTGTAACAAAATAAAAAATTATGCAATCTTTGACAGTGCTTGCTATATATCTTAATCTAAATACTATATATGCACATTAAAAAAAATTGGAAAAAACATTTTGAAAAACAAAATCACATAATAATGTTTATCTAATAATATTTAGCGAAGAGAATTCGCTCTCTTCGCTCGCTCATTTGACCGTACCGTCTCCTTCGAACCTAACCTGTCCAAATCGGGATGCCCTAAGTCTCGATCTCGCATCGCTCGATCTTACGCTCAATGAAGACTTAAATATACAAACAAACACAACAATAAAAAATTAATAAACATTTTTTCAATTTTTTATTTAAAATGTTAGTTTTTTTTTGTGTAGAATATGAAAAAATATAACAACTTCATTCGAATATTTTAAAATGTGATGCGAAATTATGAAAATTTAAAGTCTTGAAATCAATATAAATTTTAATTTTTTATTCTTCTAATTTTTTCGTAAATCCGCCGTAATAATGAAGATTTAAAAAAATCATCAAAATCGGATGATTTTTTTGATTTTCTAGAGCCAAAAAATGAGGTGACTGAGGTATAAAATTACCAACTTACGTAATAATATTATTCGAAACGTTTAATTTGATTTAAGTACAATACGTAATGCGTGCAGTTTAATAGTGTGTGTCTATAACGGTAATACGTAATATGGTTTTGATAAATTTTGTGGTTATTAAAAATTAATTTATAATTAAAGTGTTTGTGTTTTACTGTAGTTGGGGTAAAAAGTCGGAAAAACAATTAAAAGTGATTTCTGATTATCCACCCCGCCTGGGGTGGATAAATGAACACGCGTTTCCGTGTATCCACTTGGGGAGGGGGATGTTTTTAGGGTGGATGAACAGAATAATCCAATCCTTCGTAGTTCAATTTCCTACTGTATTTATACTTGAGAAGGTCAGGTAAAAACCATGATTGAATTGGAACGTGCACAGAGAAGTTTGTTGAAGATTATTATGTACTTGCCCTACAAACATCCTACCACATCACTATACGAAAAGTGTAATGTATTAAGTATATGTAGACCTATGTTTTTGACATGACCAACCACAGAAAAGAGGGTTGATAACTATCCCATTCTCATTTTTAGGACGTCCTATGCCAGAAAATATATTGAATTTCAGTCCTCATACTTAAATAATAAATTAAACAAAATAATAAAACGAAGGAAACTTAACCAAAAACAAATAAAATAAGAATGATCACAGTACTTTTTTCTTTATTATAAATTCAAAAGTTCCATAAAAAAAGCACAAAAAGTAAATTGTATCTGTTTGAATGTAAGCAAGACACCATTAAAACTATTTAAGCTCGCAAGGTATAATATATGTACAATAGATAATAATTTCAAGAACTATTATTATAGCATACTATCTGACTGACTTATCTCGATAATTTTCTTTAAGCATCCGGTTGCAACAGTATATAAGCTGAACATAAAAAGGGAAATTTATTACTTAGTACAAAAACAGCTACTATTGACGCATAATATCTGAAAATGAACAAAGAAATTATTTTTATTTTCTTAATGCTACTGGCACTTAATATACAATGTGGTTCGTATATCAAAACTTTTTTTTCTAATACTACTTTTTTAAGTTTAATATGTTATTCATAATTAATGATCATTTAATTGTTTTAGCTCGGCATAACAAAAAACAAAAATCACAAAACGAGGACACCAAAGGAACAGACGATACAAAACCCTCAGAACACGATGTGTCAGCGTGGCCCCAACCCGGCGCTGTCAGCAATTTTCCAGTACCAAGTGATTTTCTTAATAACTTTGAATCGGATAAGGCATTAAGTCACACGCTACAAACAGAACAGGTATAATATATAATATGTAATTTTATCTGATTTGATTACGAAATGAAATGGTTTTATGTATGAACTACCGGGTTCATTCCTAAGAATATTCTCCATAAAATGAAAGGAAACCTGTAAACTGGAAGTGGGATGTATTCTAATTGTAAACTTACTTCTGTATATACCTTATTATACTAGATGGATATATCGTGTAACAGATCTTATGCCTGAGATCTTTAGGCGTTATGCATAGTCGCATCTTACGACATTAAAACGCCAAAAAAATATTGATTGATTCTTACGCCTTATAACGTGATAAATATGACAGATATATTTATTCATGAAACTTCTTTATATAATAAGGGTGGCAAACGAGCAGACAGTTCACCCGATGGTGAGTGGACGCTGTGGCCCATATACATCTAGATTTACCCTTAATTAATAATCTAAAATGCAGATACGTTGTCACCCTTGAGGACTGAGATGGTATGCCTCCTTTCCAATAAAAAAAGTGTCTCCGATTCCCTACTTATCATACGAAACACAGCAGCTTTAAGCTGCTATTTCATGCTGGTATACTGCGAGAGCGTGGTCCTACTCGGTCGAGCCGACCCATTCGTGCTACAACCATATATATATATATACAGCGTTAATCGACCACTCAGAAATGACCACAGAAATGACAACCTTGAAGTGGCAAACAAACTTACAGTCAACCTGATAGTAAGTAGCAATTGTGGTCCATGGACATATGCAACCAATTACAAATAGAGAAATTTACAAGTGCTTTATCTCTGAGGACTAAGATGAAATGCCTCACAGCATGTAATTATACACCATTCAGACAAGAACTAAGAAGTGCTAGAACTGCTATTTGGCGGCAAAATTATGTAAGAGATAGACTTCTAGGCAAAAAAGGAGTCCTGCCACCTAGTAATAACATTACCACTCATCATCATCATCATCATCATTACAGCCCTTCACAAGTCCACTGCTGAACATAGGCCTCCCCCAAGTAATGCCACAAAGCACGGTCCTGAGCCACCTGCATCCATCGACTTCCTGGTTACCAGGTCGTCACTCCGTCTAGTGGGGGGTCGCCCTACACTACGCCTACCGGTACGAGGCTGCCACTCGAGAACCTTTCTTCCCCATCGGTTATCGGTTCTTCGAGCTATATGGCCGGCCCATTGCCACTTCAGCTTACTAATTACATTACCACTTAGTAATTATTAATTTATAAATACCCTAATTATAAAATATATTTTTAGCATTCTACCGGAAAACACTCTGGAGATGTTCACAAAGGCAGAAGACACTAGTATTGCCGCTCTTAACTTTTCTGCAATGTACATGTTCTAAATTAACTATAGTAAACAGTGTCTGTTATTAACTTCTTGTTTTATTGACACTTCGTTAATCTTTCACTACTTTCTTTATCAGCCACTTCAATGTGACAGCAGCCTACCGGTAAGGCTGCGATATAATAGAGTCATGACTATTCGAGTACTGAAATAAGATGGAATAATATTATCCATTTTTTCGAAATAAATAATGAAATTTTCTCGTGAAAAACTCGCAGCTTAAGAGTTCTAAGGTCTGTTAGAATAGTAAAAAGGAGGTTTTTTTTTAATAATAGAAGTACAAGGGTAACAAACAAGCACGTAGGCCACCCGATAGTGAGTGGATGCTGTGAGCTAAAGAATTTATCCTCTATTAAAAATTAAAGTACAGCTACAGGACTAAAGTAAAATACCTTGTTACCACTAAAAGGATCTCTGGCTCTCGTTACATACCATTCGAAAGATATCTGCATTGTGCTGCTACTTTAAATGATATTAACCATGGATGGTCCTCCGCGCTCGTACAGAAGAGGAATAACAATCCGTGCTACAGCCATAATATGCTAAAATAGGTCTTTTGTCCAAAGTCCACCCAGATACCTCAGAATGAGATGGAGTTAAAAGATCTCTTATGCACTCGATACTCCGAATACAATTCGGCATAAAAATATAATGTGCACCGCGTAATAATTAATTTCGGAATTTTCGTATGAATATATAGCGGCTTTGTTAGGCTAATAGAGCCTTGTTCTTTAGTTAGCGGGATGCCCACCATACTAGGGAGATTTACATTTAGAAAAAAAAAACTTTGATTTGAATCGTAGAGTAATTACATACATACGTATGCATAGAGATAACCTAAAATTCAACATAAATTGAGTCAATATACTTTTCTCCCTTTTTCTTAATCAATTTTCCAATAAGGCAAAAATAGACAAATCTACGGAAAGATGTTGCGTATAATTAAAGCGTGTAAATAGAAATGTCAAGTGGTCATCTTTGGTCTCTTTATACTATGCAAAATATGAGAGTAAGTACACTCGTATGATCTGATTTATTTGAAAAATTACATCTCTATTATAGTAGTATTACGTGTGACGTTACTTTACAAGATATTATGTCTTTAATTTATTGTGATTTCGTTCGCAATATTAGTTAGCTACAATCGACATCGGTATACTCGTTTTTGTTTTGTTACTTATAATTAATCGAACGATCTAGTAAATTGATTTATAAATTTAGTTATGATGATTATTGTATTACATTTCAAATATTCGTTTCGCAAACTTTAAAAACTAATTATTAGGTAGGTATCAATACTAAGTCTTGACAGACACACGTTATATGAACAAGTTGGATCCCATTTGTAATCTCAATTTCATATGCTGACTAACGATCCGCCTCGGCTCTGCACGACTGTTTTCTAGATCTCGACAACAATGCCATTTACCGGGTCCAATTGAAATTGTGAGTGTTCATCGAAATCTGTCCAGTCTTTGTGAGGTGTTGATCTTTCATACATGCGATAATTAATTTTTAACTATATATGAGCCGTGGTAGCTCAGATGGTTAACGCTCGCTGTAAATATAACAGAACGCGAGTAACCCGGGTTCGATCCCCGCCGGCACCAATGAAATTGTTAATTGCAATTTTAAGTGCTGATTTACCACGTGCTCGGCGGTGAAGTAAAACATCGTGAGGAAACCTGCATGTTTGAGGAATAATGCTGCTTGGATGAAAATATTTCTAAATCAAGAAGACAAGGCAAGATCTCGCTAAGAGAGAACTATGACATATGTTCCCCCTACGTTCAGCTGTGGACTTTTGATTGGCTATATTTATAATGATTTCTTATATTTACGCGAACACTATGAGATTAAAACTACTTTTACGGATTTTATCGCGTTTAATTTTAATTTTAATTATTTTTATTTTTAATTCCCAACGTTTCGGGTACTTTCCAGCACCCATGGTCACGGGGGACTGAGGTGACTGATGTCATTGTTAAACCCGGAGTACCTTCAGCTTTTTTAAAATTATTGTTTATGGTTCGATCTATGCAAAATGAACTGACTATGTCTTGAGGTCTTGCCGTAGACAGAGAAACCTATAGACTAATGATTAGCGTGGCCTAGAGTGAGAAAGGACGATAACGTAGTTTTAGGTTATACAATAATCTTTATGACTTTTAAACATATTTAGATAAAATTTTTAATTATTCTAAGAACTAAACTGAACAAGATTCACAAAACACTTTATTCTTACTTAAACCAACTTGTAAACTCCTTAGATCGCTACGAACTGTCAAAGTTGTTTAGCAAAGTGTAGTTTGCTAAATAAAAAAACCGGCACGGAGAAAGGGACAAATAATCACACCGCTCTGTCTCATTTCTATGCAAGACGTATGCATAAATCTATCTTTTTCGTGTGCGAATGCGAAAGAAGGTGTCAATTTGTCTATAGGTTTCTCTGTCTACGGGTCTTGCAGTGGTATGCTTGGGTTTAGTTTTAATTTTATTGATTATAGGGTCCCAAGCGGGTGGTAGTACCCAGCCGCCTTCTCTATTGAAATTAGGATGTTTTTTAATTTCAATAGCCTCACGTATCATCCTTGGTAGGAATTGGTGTTCATTCGCGGATTTATGGTCTATCAAACCTGATGTAATGGTTGGGGCCGTCTAGGATATGATCACAAACTGCAGACGATCAACGTTCCGGGAAGTCTGGACATGTTGGGAAGGTCACAAGCTAGTCGTACCAGTTACTCGACTCCACCGAGTCAGTAATTCATTCACGCTTTTACAACAAAATCCCAGAAAATATACAAAAGGGGGATGCCCACTGTTCATAGACACTTCGGCCATGGGTGCCCACATATAAAAGCATATGAAAATGATAATATGCAATTAAAATAATGAAATGGTTAAGGAATTGGTTTAAAAAAAGTCGGGATTTTTATGATATAAAGCTTTTTATTTTCACAAATACAGCTTTTTAACGACTACTTTTACCAATTTTATTGCTTTTAATTTCTTTAACTTTTAATTCCCGACGCGTGATTTTTCTTTTTGGAGGCCTATGCCAAAAGGCACACCGAACAGAGGGACTTACTTTAACTAGTATTACAATAGGAACTCAAACACAAATATTATGTAACCCCAAAGTTCGGAAATAAATGGCTATATTATTATTATTATACTATTATTATTAATTCTTGAAGTTTCAGGTGCTTTATAGCACCCATGGTCACGGGGTACTGAGGTGACTGCCATCCCAATGTCAGTATTGGGACATGGAGTACCTTCAGCTTTTTATTATTATTTTTATAGTCCAATCTACGCAGATTGAACTTACTCTATCTTTAAGTCTTGCAGTGGTATGCTTGGGGTTTGTTTTAATTTTATTAATTATAGTGTCCCAAGCAGGTGGCAGTACCCAACCGCCTTCTCTACTGAAATTAGGATGTTTTTTAATTTCAGTAGCCTCACATATCATCCTTGGTAGGAATTAATGTTCTTTAACGAGGATTTGTGGTCTATCAAATCTGATGTATGTCTATCTGGTTGGGGTGACACTCTTGACATACGGTAGTACATCAGGCACACGCTCAACTGCGGTCGGCTTCACTCGGTCACTGTGACGAAGACGTGGGACCCGAAGCTTGATTTTGTGCAGAACCTGCTTGACGTGCTGAAGCTCCGCGGCCAGGTGCTTGTTCTCACAGATCCCATATGCTCTCTGTAACAAAGATTTGCTCATGGTAACTAACTGTGAAGGATTATGGTGAGATTCACCGCTTAAATATCAGTTTGTATGGGTCTTTTTTCTATACACAGTGTGACCTATGATGTTGTTAGGATTTTGGATAACAAAAACATCTAGGAAAGCTAAGAAATTATTTGCCTCAGATATAATATCATAATTACTGAATAGAATTTGGCACAGAGAGTGGTAACGATGGATAAAATTCATAGGAACAACATCCTGATTTAATATTTCTTGGGCCATATTCATGAGCCGCTCTAATTTGTTTCTTGGTACTTGCAATAATGCCTATATGCATTCATCACTATCTCCTGTTCTTACTTTTATCAAATATACAGCAAGTGCAAAGCATCCACTATGTTTACTTGACATTTTGGGCACTTCAGACAGAATTTATTGGCATTGTGCCTTTGATAAGCGTAGATAATAATGTACAGTATATTCGGGCATATTGTAAATATTTTCAAAGTCTATATGATGGTAAATATTATCTTACAATAATGTAGAAAAATCTATAATTTGTGCTACACTAAATGTTTTAATATGGTTATATATTAATTCTAAAAGTAAATACCAAGAGTTACTATTTAAATGGTAGTTACTGATTCTACATTCTGGAGGTACATAGTAATTGTATTCACAAAAATACATACCCGCAATGCTGATGGAACAGTGAGTTGATTGGAATTGTTACAACCAGGAAAAAACATTGATTTTGTGTGAGTGGTGCTCTTACAAAATTAGGCAGCAGTATATTGTATGATGTATGATCTAAGCTTTGTTGTTCTAGGTTCAATACATTACTCACTTTAGATTGCTACAAGGATGGACTAGATGATTCAGATGGTTCCCGTTCTAAAGTTTAACGTGTTGCTGCTTTATCAATCCTTAGCAATCATGACACTCACGCGATGACGATGGCAACTGAAATAATATTAAATAAAAAAAATAAGACAAAGTGAACAAAATAAAATAGATTTGTTTACTTTAAACTCAAATATAGGTAAATGTTACTTAAAACTTAATGCCCTATATTATTTAATAATTAAGGACTGACTGCCTACCAGTAGTCCAAAAACAATTAAAAATCGACTGTCTTATTTCTTGGTATTTGATAAAAATTGTCCATTTCGTAACTATCTGGTGTTAGCTAGCTAATCTTATCGCCGTGTTACAAATAAGCTATTTTGTTTGTCAGGTATAGCTTGTGCAT